TATGTTTAAAAAAATTTTACAAGTATAAAAATATGTACAAAAATTATAGGTCTTTGTCCAAACGTCGATTGTCTTGAAAAAAAAAACAAACAAAAAAAAAAAAACGGCTGAATTGGTAACCAACTAGTAATAAAACGTTGACCTTGGAACCCTTAAAACATGAGAGTTACGTATGCAAACTAATAACTTCCTGCCCTGGGTGGGAGGGGGATAAATAGAATGACATGGCAGTTCCATAAGATTTATACTAAGCTGTTTAATTAATAAGAGGAATTAATGAATCAACTAACGGAAAATTCCAAGATGAGCAAGATCACAATCATATTAAACACGTTTCAGTTACATGCCTTCAAACTGTTTGAAACTGTTTAAATTCGTTTTGATTCGTTGATTATCAGTACAGCCGTTTTTTTTATTACAAGAAAAGGCACGTTTGTAGGATAATTTTATAATTATAATTTTTTGTAGATTTATTTATTTTTATACTTGAATTTAAAAAAAATATAACTTTAAGAAGACAGACATACTGTCAAAATATTGTTTGACATTGTTAAACAATATCTTTTTCTTTTCTTTTACTTTTCATAAATCATGCTCTTAACTATTTCATTTCATTATGCCTCGTAATTCCTTGGAGAACATAGGGCCGCAACAACACCTCTCTAACGGACGTTGTTCCGAACGATCCTCTTCAGATCGGCCCATATCGTGTAGACTGCAACAAAGTGCCCGTGAAGCCGGGGGAGGGGTCTTTACCAGCACGTGTCATACGCCTCATTTTGAAGGACTCTTCCTCGACCATGTCATTGTTTGAAGATATCGTTGACGTTTCTGTAACAAGCTAGTTTTTAAGTGAGTAGGTTGTTAGCCTACTACACAACTCGCAACCTGGAGGACCAACAGACCTGTTGAACTTTGTTAGACCTGCTAAGGGCCGGAACCTCCGCGCACATAGTTCTAGGGGTCGTTGAAGCACGCAAGCCGTTCTACCAAGTCAAGGCGACACACCATCTTAAGTATTAATAATAATAGTAACAATTTTGATGAAACTGTTGACCACATAGTATCAGGGTACTCAATCTTTGCTGAGAAAGAATGCATTATTAGACATGACAGGCTAGAACAATATATTCATTGGCGTGTCTGTTCGAAATATGGTATTGAATTTCCGGATACATGGTACAAACACCATCCGAATTAAGTCACAATTGGTAATGTAATGATGTAATGTGGTATTTCCCAATCATCAAAGACAGGAAAATTGATGCAAATACACCAGACAGTCATAAAAGATTTCAAAAAAGGAACCTGCTAATTGATATGACACTAAAAATAAATTTTAGAAATTGTCAAATTATATGGACCTGCAAATCGAAGTAACAAAAATGTGGAAACTTAAAGCTACAATTATCCTTGTTATAACAGAAGCCTTGAGTTCGATAAAGAGGGGGTGTAGAAAATCAGGTGACTATAATTCCTGAAGACATCAGCATTTCAGAGTTACAAAAGATTACTTTGTCCAGAACTGCACATATCATCTGCAACCCCCCCTTCTAAACGAAACGTACACGACTGCATGTACTTTGTTGCAATTGGTTAATTATCTCACGACTGTGTATAATCTGTTGCAAATAGTTAATTATCTCACGACTGTGTATAATCTGTTGCAAATTATTAATATTCACACAACTGCATGTACTTTGTTGCAATTGGTTAATTATCTCATGCCTATGCATAATCTGTTGCAAATGGCTAATTATCTCACGACTGCATGTACTTTGTTGCAATTGGTTAATTATCTCACGACTGTATGTACTTTGTGCAATTGGTTAATTATCCCACGACTGTATTTACTTTGTTGCAATTGGTTAATTATCTCACGACTGTGTGTACTTTGTTGCAATTTTTTAATCATTATCACGACTGCTGTGTACTTTGTTGCAATGGTTAATTATTATCACGACTGTGTGTTCTTTGTTGTAATTGTTTAATTATCTCACGACTATGTGCACTTTGTTGCAATTGGTTAACTGCTAATAAAAGAACGTTATTGATATAACAACGATACCAAAAGTGTAACTTAAGCTAGCCAATGAACTTTTTTCCTACCAGGTTACTTCAGGGCGTACGCAATCATGACACATCTCAGCTTTCTTTCGTTTATTATATGTGTATTTGCATTTTATCATTTTCTTAAATGCTCTATCACTTCAGGGCGTAAGCGCGATCATGGCTCCCCACGGACTATAAAAGAGAACTACAACAATGAATCGTTTAACTAGAGAAGATTAACTGTGTTGTAAAATAAACAAAATATAGGTGGAAAATACTTTGACACTGGGACTGGAGAAGACTACCAACTTCGTCTTACTATTTTTATAGACAACCAGGAAGCTTCTAGAATAACTTCTGTCCATAAAGGTGGGGACTGTTTTGATTGGACATAAAATAAACAGACTCACCTTAACGAGGAAGATCAACAAGCCGGGATTACAAATTGAAAAATGATTTGGGCTCTTTGAGGTTTGTGTAATATTTAACGAGCTAATCTGATTATGCATTACAACTGAAGAGTGCATTCGATCATTACTGGTTACCCCATATTTTTTGCCTTGTACCAGACTAAATTAAGCTTAGTGTTATGGGGTCCACCCCTTTTTCATACAAGTGGACTCGACCAGTGTGTACTTGGACTGCTGCCGTTATTTACCCAGAGTCAGAGTAGGCAGAGAGTGTGATTGAGTTGGAGGTAGAGTAATAGTGTGAGGTAACCGCTTGTAGAAGTCACAGTTACAAGCACGTAGACTCTAAGGAAGTCCTACTTCGAGACTGGATTTACTAGACTGTATATATATATTATTATTGCTACTAACCGCGTTTCTGGGTCCACTAACCGTATTACCCATTGTATTATTGTGTAAATACATTTATTTGTTATATTTCATTCCTGCGTTTGTCATTCATTGAAGACCGGGTTTCATCTCGGAATCCACAGCACTTAGTAAAACAGGAACTACGTGGAAACTAGTACTGAGACAACTGAAATGCAGTGCGACACTAGGATAGCAAAAGATGCCTTCCAAAAGCTAAGAAAAGTATTAAGAAACAGGAAAATTTAGTTAGAAACAAAGCTTACTGAACTGTTACATAATATCAGTCCTGAAAGTGAATGCTGGATACTATACTCACAGTGAATGCTGGACACTATACTAAAAGACTTGAAGCAACATAAATGAGGTTCTACAGAAGGATGCTGAGAATACTATGAAACGAACATGTGAACAACGCGGAAGTTTTAGAAACACGGAAACAAAAAGAACACATACTTAACATCAGACAGTTAAAATTTATTATGGCGTATAATGAGGAAAGAGTGCTAGGAAAATTTGACACTCATGGGGCAGATTGTAGGCAAAAGGGACAGAGGAAAACAAAGCATAACCTACCTAGCGAGCTTGAGTAAATGGATGGCGTAGCAAGGTTTAGGAGAGACACAACAAAAAACGAAATTTATTAAGCGCTACAAAGGACAGGAGAGTGTGGAGATCCATGATCGCCAACATCCTGAAAGGACACAGCATATAGAAGAAAAATGTAGTAAAGAAGGATAGAAATTATGGCAGAGAAATCCGAAGGCGCATAGGAATAACAAAAGATGCCCTTCAGAAACTAATCAAAGTATTAAGAGAATTGAACTGCTACGTAATGGCTAATCTTCTTCACGGTAGGGAATGCTGGACAATTTCCTCATAGATTAAGAAAAGGCTTGAAGCTAAAGTAATGTGATGTTTTAAAACATAGAGAAATTACAAGAAAACTGATACTTACAATGAGAAAACGGTAGCAGGAATTTTGGGGCACATAATTAGGAAAGAAGGCTTGGAGAATTTAACGCTCACATGGCATACTGAAATCAGGAGTAATAAAGGGAACAGAAAATAACGAGTTCGTGCAAACGGATAGCAGAACAAGAACAGAGAGGTATTGTAAAGGGGCAAAAATTAGTGCATTCAAAAGCAGGATGTTGTGGAGAGCCATGATCACTTACGTCATAAAAGAAGATGAAGATTGGGATTATATTGGCTCATCTCAGTGGTTACTGAATGTGAGAGAATCAGAAAAATACTATTAAGGAGAGAGAACAATAAAAGAACAAGAATTAAGAAAAGAGAACATTGCGTTTAATGTTTGAAAATCAAAGTTCACTGGGAAGCAAGAAACCGGAAAAAGAGTAGCACAAGCGAGAAGTGCGACAGAAGAAACTGTTAGCATAGAACTTGCGGTTACATCTAGCCAATTCGACTGTGAATTGACGAGACCTTACTGCCAATCTAGTACTGCGCTCAAATTAAAAAAAAAACTAGGTACCACAGTAAAGAGATCATCCGAACAATTACGATGAAAATATTTATAAAAAAGGCCCAGACAAGCAACTTTTCGGCAGTGAAAGAGTGACTGAAACCGGGATGCCAGGTCAGGACAAATAATATTGCAGATTCTTATCAAGAATCTCTAAAGAAGATGCGTCAGCAATATTCAAAGTAAAGACGAAATAGACTTATAAATATGCAAGATATATTGAAAAATTGTCTATCACGACACAGTGAACCAACTTTTCTCGCAGCAGACCTGGCAACTGATTCTATAAAATATATTTTGTTACAAGCAAACATAACCTTGTGCCAGAGTAAGATAAACTGAGTTACCATCTCCTAGCGATTTATAATATAGAACTTTAATATTGATACCGAACAAGATGAAAACAAAGATGAAGTATAGAAAGATTGTGGAGGGTTAACCTTCCAAATAGAGAGAGTGTGTCAGTCTGCTTTGGAAGTCAATATTAATGGTTTTTACTCAGACTCGAGCACCGACCACTGAACCGGCGGCAAATACGCATTCCACCCAACAAGCAGGTCAACCTATGTTTATTATGCTTGGTCTGTCTAAAGACCACACAGTAAAACATCCGTAGAACCCATTATACTAGTAATAATATAATGATCTGCCCGACTCTCGCTCTATATATACTATTATTCTATCTATACTCTCTCTCTTTATTTCTTTCTCTATCTATCTATCTATCTATCTATCTATCTATCTATATACTGCGTGCCAAATTATTATCGAGATAACATTTTTTCTAATATTTCAAAAAACCGTCCAATCAATTCACACAAAATTTTTACATGATATTGGCAACACTGACCTGCGCAATCACTGAAATTTTCGTACCAAATTATTAGAAAAGTGTAAGAATTTAGTGAAAAGATGGGCCGTAAAAGCAGTTTAAGTGATGCTGAAAAGAAAACTATCACCTCAGAACTCTCAAAAGGTAAATCTACTCTAGAAATTTATAAAATGATAGGGAGGTGTCATCAAACAGGGGAAACGTTCACCGCCGACCCTACACAAGTACGCAAAAGGGCAGATAAAAGTAAGCCGAGGGTTATTTCACATCGTCTCAAGTCACGATTTAAACGAGAGGCCACGAAGAACCCTGTCAAGAGCTTTTCAGTCGCATTGGGGATCCTACTGTATCGAAGCCTCCGTTGACGAGAAATCACATTCAAAATCGATTGAAATGGGCTGAGGACAATATGAAGATTGACTTCTCTAAAGTTTTGTCCACAGACGAAACTCGAGCAACACTTGATGGGCCAAATAGATGGTGCAAAGGCTGGGTAATGGACGGACAGAATCGCCATCAGCGTTTGAGACACCAAAAAGGCGGTGGAGGCATAATGAACTGGGGTGGTATTATTGGAAAAACATTAGTGGGTCCATGAAAAGTACCAGATGGAGTCAAAATGACTGCTGATACATACATAGCGTTTATGACGGAGCATCTTGAACCGTGGATGAAAAGGCAAAGAGTTGCCTTCAGAAGGGCAATTGTTTTTTTATGCAAGATAATGCTCCCTCACAAGCTGCTCACAAGACTACTGAATATTTGAAACAGTTACGCTTCGATGGACCTCGAAAAATGAAGTGGCCAGCAAATTCTCCGGATTTGAACCCAAACGAAAACCTTTGGAGCATCATGAAGCGAAGACTGTACGCCAGCGGACGACAATTCAGGAGCGACGCTGAGTTGTGGGAAGCAATTCTTGACATATCTCTCGGCATTACAGCAGATGACATCCTATAATTAACAAATTCTATGGATCGTTGACTTCTTCAAGTAATTTCAAAACAGGGAAAGAACATTCCCTATTAATTTGTTTAAAACTGTGCCTTTGTTTGTATCTGTTATTATTTCTTTGATTATCTTATTTATTAACTTCTTTTGATCATAAACATTCACGTGCAATATTAATAAACGTTTTGTTTGCTTAATTCTGGGAATTTTACTAAACCTTTCAAATAATTTGGCACGCTCAAATCACCGTGCTGATAACAAATATAGCGCCAGTTTGTTTACATTGCGCAGATCAGTACGAAAATTTCAGTGATTGTGCAGGTCAGTATTGCCAACAGTGTGTGAAAATTTTGTGTTAATTGATTGGACGGTTTTTGAAATATTAGAAAAAAAAGTTATCTCGATAATAATTTGACACGCAGTATATATATATATATATATATATATATATATATATATATATATATATATATATATCGCTCTATTATATACTATAATGATCTGCCCAACCCTCTATATATACTGTCTCTCTCTCTATCTATCTATATATATATATATATATATATATATATATATATATATATATATATACTATAATGATATATTGTAATGATCTGCCCAACTCTCTATCTATATATACTATCGCTCTGTCTCTGTTTCTGTCTGTCTGTCTGTCTCTCTCACTTTCTCTCTCTCTCTCTCTCTCTCTTTTCTATATATATATATATATATCGCTCTATTATATATACTATAATGATATACTATACTATAATGATCTACCCAACTCTCGCTCTCTATATACTATCTCCCTCACTCTATCTATCTATCTATCTATCTATCTATCTATCTATCTATCTATCTCTCTCTCTATATATATATATATATATATATATAGTTTAAGAAAAACTAGGTATCCGTATGGGTAAACCTAAGTAGGATAAAATCCAGAGAGCTCAATGTAAATCCAGAGCAAATAATTTAGATAAAAACAGACCACTTTAAAGTTCCATGTAATAAATTAATTCGCCACAGCCCTTTTAAAGGACTGCGGATTATCAGACTTTACTTCCAAACACAAAATGAAAAGAAAATTTACACATTTTTGACGGGCCGTATTAAACATATGTAAATTAACGAAGTGAGGAAGTGAGGGGGGAGAGAGAAGACATGAGTGAGTTAGCAGATATTGACACACATAAACGGTTAATTTAACGGACGTTATATATTGATATCGAAGGGGTAGAGAAGAAAAAATCCATAGAGAGAAAAAGAGAGAAGATAGTTATGAGAGATGTCAGTAATTGTCTTTGTAAAACAAGGTTGGAAACAGACGCTGTTATTTTGCTTTACTTTGAAAGTGTTATTTTGGGGGTTCATAAAGATTATAATGTTTGATATAAATTTGAATGTCTCTAAACTGTCTACAAATAATTTAATTTTATGTTTGTTAGTGATTAAAATTTTTTTAAATTTTGGGGATTTGATTAGAAAAATATTCATAGAAAGTACATTAAAAGAATAAAATTTTATTTTAAAATATAAGTTTACTTCTAGTAATCTTTTTTTAATCTCTTTAAAAATTTTATTATTGATTATTAAGTTGACATCTCTATCCGTTTGAATTTTGTTCATGAATTAAACTCGTGACTGTTTGTAGATAGGTAATCTCTTTTAATTAAATTTTAGTTAACTAATATGGGGTAATATTTGAAGGTAATATTAAAGATCTTGCTCTGTCATATACTGTATACACACCCATGCAAATATCACATATACACACGTTCCTTTACATATTCAATCCCTCATACCATGTGCCGATATACACAGGTAACTTCATGTATTAACATCTACCTAAATATCAAAAATTTTTCCAATTTAAATATTTTATCATCAATAATGATTATTAAAGGGTAATATATTTCAATTTAAATGAAATTATCAATTTAAAAAATGTTCCTCCATATTATGAAGAATTTTAAACTCACACTTCCAATTGGAGAATATTAAATGAGAAAATGAGATAAAACACTAATAACAGGACTGTAAGTCCTTCTATAATATTCTCTGTATCCATAAATATACACATACACACATATCCGTACACATACACACATACATATACATACATATCCATATATATCCATATATTCACATATACACATACACACATATATATATGTATATACTCATACATACACACATACACATGTAGATATACACACACGCATACATACATACACATGTACATATATACACACATATACCCACATATATACACACACATATATATCTACATACATATACACATATATACACACACATATACATATACACATATACACACATATACACATACACACAAATATATACATATACATATATACACCGACATGTGCGTGCATGCAAAAAACATATCAGCATCCATACTTAATTACCTTATTATATCTATATTCTCCCATACTATATATATGAACTCACAACTTCTTATATTTATACATACATACATACATACATACATACACTATCTATGGAATGACATACATGTACCCATCTATATATACACACCCACACTCACACATACATATATAGAAATTATAAAAAATTGTATACATACACATCCACACATATACATGTACCCACATACCCACACATACACATATATACACCTATATATACATATAACTACATACATTTAAAAAAAAACAGATCACCTATATACATACAGTATACATACATACATATTCATAACCATACCCACCCACTCCAAAAATGTTCCCACAATACACAAAAATAACATATCCATGCCTATCTTTCATATAAACGCATATACATATACATATACATATCAAAAGACGTATCAATGTTCAAGTTCAATTACATAGTTATATACATACAGTTATGTGTTCGCACTTATGTGTGCATAGCAACATTTCCAAAAACAAAAAACCAAGACCATGTAATATTAGTCTTCCTATATAGTTATTCCTAAATATATTTAGTTAGATTTAGGTTATTCTTATGTCGGCATTTAAAAATTAGTTCATTATGTTTGTTTAGTAATAAATCCGGATCTTTACGTTTTATTATGAGGATTTTTTCTTTTATGCATAAGTCGCATCTGTCTCTGAAATTTTTTGGAGTTCTGGCTCTCGAGATTATCTTCCATTTTATTTGTGGGGTTAAGCCACCATCCGACAACACCCAATAATGCTTTGACAGTGCCGTTTGGTTCTTTTTACATTTATCTTTGAAGGACTGGCGATGGTTATAAAGTCGATGTTTCCAACTTCCCGACGATATTCCTATGTATATCCTTTTTTGCTCAAAATTCTCTTTGGAGAAAACTGTTGCCTCATAAATTACATTTTCCGCCATCAGGTTTATTTTTTAACATAGTCCCCCTTGCGGTCCACACACTTCTTCCATCAGTGCTTAGATCCCTTTGGTGAAGAAGTCTTCAATCTGTCGATAAAAAAAGTCATCAACAGCATATATTACGGCATCATCACCGCGATACTGATTCCCAGCCAAGTGTTTTCCATGTTGGGGAACAGATGATAGTCAGATGGCGCCAAATCAGGAGAACAAGTAGTTTAATCAACCTGTTCCAAGCCGCAATCATGTACAGCGGTCATTTAAACCAAGGACATGTTCTGGAGAATATGTCAGTTTTTCTAGATATTTGTTCTTTGTAGTCTTTCATTTTCCTGTCTCTTAATACTTTGCTTAGTTTCTGAAAGGCATCTTTCGTTATTCCTATTCGCCTTCGGATTTCTCTGCCATTATTTCTATCCTCCTTCACTTCATTTTTCTCTTATAGGCTGTGACCTTTCAGGACGTTATCCTAAGCCTTCTCCCGACATCCATTTACTTGAGCTCGCTAGGTAGGTTATGCTTTGTTTTCCTCTGTACCTCTTGCCTTCAATCTGCCCTGTGAGTGTCAAATTTTCCCAGCCTTCTTTCCTTATCA